CTCCTCAACAAAATGGGAGAGTAGAGAGAAAACACAAACATATTCTTAATGTTGGGAGAGCCCTGAGATTCCAAGCCAAATTGCCTATTTATTTTTGGGGTGAATGTGTTTTAGCTGCAGCTCATTTAATTAATCGAACCCCCACTCCACTCCTACAAAATAAAACCCCATTTGAAATTCTCTTTAATAAATCTCCTTTATTTGATGTCATTCGTACTTTTGGGTGCTTGTGTTTTGCTCATAATCAAAAGACTAAAGGCGATAAGTTCGCTAGTAGGAGTCGTAAATGTGTTTTTTTAGGGTATCCGTTTGGGAAAAAGAGATGGAGGTTGTATGATCATGAAACAAAGGAATTTTTTATCTCACGTGATGTGAAATTTTTGGAAGATGTCTTTCCATTTGGGTGTCCTAATGATGTGAATATTGGTTTGAATGTTAGTGATGTGGTGGATGACATTCACATTGATTTTGCGGACTTTGAAAATGTTGTTGATACTGGCAACATTGAATTGGATGCCAATAATCATGATGCGCATGATCATGATGTGCATGTTACTGAGAATGTGGGGGAGGATTTACATAATGACGTGGGAATTGAAGGCATAGAACAGCCACAACCCGCTGGTTTCCACGACACCAGCACACCCCAACAATCTGCCCAGCCCGCTGCATTTCCTGCGGGCGATGGGTCAGACCACCAGCACCAAGCCGCATCTGATATGGGCAATAACGAACAGCACCAATCAGAATCTGATATGGGCAGCAACAAACAGCAGCAAGCAGGTTCTGATATGGGCAGAGGAATGCGGGAAAAATTTCCCTCAGTTTTGCTACGGGATTATATCACTCACTCAGGTTTTGCTAAAAGTCCGTCTTCGCCTTCCAATCAGACTTCAGGTACTCCGTACCCTTTAGCACATTATATAAATTGTAACAAATTTTCTGTGAATTATCAAAAATTTATTTCAGCTGTTGTCCAAAGCAAAGATCCAAAATCTTTCAAAGAGGCGATAAAATTTGACGGATGGCGTAAGTCCATGAAAGAAGAAATCGGAGCTTTAGAAGACAATGGTACTTGGACATTGGAACATCTTCCGCCAAGTAAAAGAGCTCTCGACAGTCAATGGGTCTACAAGACCAAGTTTTTGTCAAATGGAGACGTAGAGCGTCTCAAATCTCATTTGGTAGTGTTTGGCAACCATCAGAAAGCAGGGGTAGATTATGAAGAAACCTTTGCTCTAGTTGCAAAAATGACGACAGTCCGCACCGTCCTAGCTATTGCGGCTGCAAAAAATTGGGAGCTACATCAAATGGATGTCCACAATGCCTTCTTACACGGTGATCTCGGTGAGGAGGTCTACATGAAATTGCCACCGGGTTTTGAAAGCTCGGATCCTTCTTTGATTTGCAGACTTCGATAATCGCTCTATCGCTTGAAACAGGCTCCTCGATGTTGGTTTGCAAAGCTTACCTCGGCTTTAAAACAGTATGGTTTCAAACAATCTTACTCTGATTACTCTTTTTCACATATACTACAGGCAAAGTTCAGATTACTGCCTTAGTTTATGTTGACGATTTAATTATTTCTGGGAATGATTCCGTTGCATTAACTGTTTTTAAGGCTTATCTTAGTGATTGCTTCAAGATGAAGGACCTTGGTCCTTTGAAATATTTTTTGGGCATTGAGGTGGCTCGTAGCTCTGCAGGTTTATTTTTATGTCAACGGAAATATACGTTGGATATTATTTTCGAAGCAGGTCTTTTGGGTGCAAAGCCTAGTGAGTTTCCCATGGAACAGAATCACAAGTTGGGTCTTTTGGGTGCAAAGCCTAGTGAATTCCTCTCCGATCTAGAGACGTACCGACGACTCGTTGGCCGTTTGATTGATCTGGCCGTTACTCGACCTGATTTGGCATACTCAATACATGTGCTATCTCGGTTTATGCAAGAGCCTCGTCGTGAGCATTGGGATGCTGCGTTGAGGGTCGTGGTTCGTTATTTGAAGGGCACTCCAAGACAAGGTATTTTATTGAGCTCTAATTGTGACTTGACTTTACAGGGTTGGTGTGATTCAGACTGGGATGCATGTCCTCTCACTCGTCCTTCTTTATCTGGTTGGTTGGTGTTTCTTGGCAAGTCACCCATCTCGTGGAAAACCAAGAAACAACCCACTGTTTCTACATCTTCTTCAGAAGCTGAGTACAGGTCCATGTACAACGCTACTTGTGAGCTAAAGTTGCTCAAAGCATTGTTATTAAGTCTTGGTGTTCAACATCCAAAGGCAATTAACTTATTTTGTGACAATCAGTCGGCTCTCCATCTTGCTAAAAATCCGGTATTCCATGAAAGAACGAAGCACATTGAGATTGATTGCCATTTTGTTCGTGATGCAATTACTGAAGGGTTGATTTCTCCTTCCTATGTTTCAACGTCTTATCAACTTGCGGATATTTTCACAAAGGCACTTGGCAAAGCACAGTTTGAGTTTCTTCGTTCCAAGTTGGGCATTCATGACCCGCATGCTCCAACTTAAAGGGGGTATTGAGATATGATGGAATATTATTTGATTTGGTAGAATATTATCTCATGTATATTTTAGTTAACTTTATATTCTCCTAGAATTATCTTTTATTCTAGGGTTAGAGGCTGTAACTCTATATATTTTCATGATCAATTAATGAGAAGGCAAGCCACACAATTATCTTTTCCTCTCTAATTTGTCAGTTTACGTGCGCTCCCATCCATGGTGCCATGAGCTCCCAATTTTTGCAGTAAAAATAAAGATGGTAAACAAAGAATGACCAGACAAACAACATGCTTATTTATGCCAGTTTGCAGGATGGCTAGGCTGTATAACTTCAGTCTTAAGAGTCTACAATGTACTCAATCTGAGTAACAGTAACACCGAAGACACTGAAATAGCCACCCTACACACCGCTAGAAACGGTGTGTTGCAACACCCAGCAATTTCTCAAGCTTGGAAGATAACCAGCATCCAACATTCAGGGATGCTGATGAAACTGAAGCAACAACCATTTTGGTGCTAACAGATTGTTTGGATAAAGAAAAGGGAAGGAAAAGAAGGGGATGGAGGAGAAGAAGAGGGGAGGGAAAAAGATGAGTTCTCCTTCCAAATCTCTCCATTGTTGGAAGGATCAATTTCCTACAATTTAATCCTTCCATTTCTCTTCCCTCCAATTTCCTCCCTTCCTCATTTGCTATCCAAATGAAAGATACTCCATCTCTCCATTTCTCTTCCCTTCCTTTCCCTCCATTTTTATCCAAAAACACCGTAACTGTTTTAAGTTTGCGAATTCCTTGTCATTTCTGGAAAACCAAACATGCATCCCACAATGTTCTTATGAGGCATGGCAGTCTCTAGCCATTGTTATGCATTCATTTATACTAAATAGTTGGATTAGTATCCAACTATCAGCTTTTCCCACTAGTGTAATAGATGAAGACTAAACATGAGTGTAAGTTTGAGGAGGGACATACAGATTTATAGCACGATAATAGTTCAATCCTCCAGTGAAGCCGGTATGTGTAAATTTGTCCCGGTAGTAAGCAACATCTTCTTCCGACAGCCAATTTGGATAAGGAGGCACATCATTGAAGGCTTGTCCTTTGGGCAACATTAAAGGTCCTGGATGGCGGTACGAAAATAATTTTCTTAAGAATTTGTCAGCACCACCAGCTTCAGCAATCTCGGACTCTATTTCTCCAGTTACATTCATGTATTAACCATCATTCATTTTTGTTCTGTATCAATTTAGTATTCACAAGATTGATATGAAAACATTGAAAATGAAGCACTTGAATGATTAAAAAATAAAAGGAATTGAGAGATAAACAAGAAAGTATTCTTGTATTAGTTATGTACTGGATTCTTATAAGCATTTATGGTACTAATGAGACTATTTTTACTCAGTAGGAACATCATCAAATGAGCGAATAAGCAAAAAAATAGTGTTGTATTATTATGCAACTAGTGGTAGCACAACCTTAGTCACTTGTATTGTAAGAAAAAAAACCTTAGTCACTTGTGTATACGCATATAAATGAGGTAAATACGCTGGATGTTTGGGACGATTTCCCTAGACATTGTTGAAATCAAAATTAATTCTTACTTTGCATTGTTTTAAAAACTTATTCCTTAAATGGTGTCCACATAGTAACGGATGTTAGCTTTTTTTTTTTAATTTTTTTTATATGTGTAGAACCGCAAATCCGCAAATAATGATAGCGGCTTTACCTCTACTGATTTACATGATACTACTTTAGTACGAGTACACAGTACAAATCTGTACAATGATGATAAAAATTCAAATTGGGCCCTACAAAAAAAAAAGAGAACACATTTTCTCTTACCACGTTCTTCTCTATTTTTCCATTTTCTCTCTCCTCTACTTTCATTCTTGTTTTCTTAATTGTAAACCTCAAATCTTGTTTGATCTTCTCTGTACTTCCTTTCTCTAAACTCAGCTTTTAATTGTAATTTTGTTTTGATTTTCAGGATAATTTTATACAATTATGAATTTTGGGGAATATCTCAGCATTCAACCTCAGAACTCCAATTCCATGTTTTTTTTTCTTCCTGTTTTTCTTTGTAATTTTTTGCAATTGGGGCTGTTAATAAAAACTTGCAGGGTTAAATTGTGAGATTATATCAGATTATCAATGGGATGGTTAAAAAAAAACTTGCAAAAAGAAACGCCAATAGAACATTAGCAATATTGTTTCTTCAAATACAACGGGTACCAACAATTGCGGTTGTACATGTAAAACCGCTATCATTACTTGCGGTTCTACACATAACCAAAAAAAAAAAAATTAATATCCGATCCTACGTGGACACCATTTAGGGAATAAGTTTTTAAAACAATGCAAAGTAGGAATTAATTTTGATTTCTAGGGAAATCATTCGAATTCCAATTCACACTATTTAAATAAAAAAAATAGAAAATATAAGTTATAGAGTGTAAAGTTTATGAAATAAAATAAACTCCGGGAGCTATAATCAATTTTTTGTTAAAGTTTTAAGAGATTGATGTATAGTTTAGGAAATTACATATCTTGTATGCTACGTTACCTTTGTTAGGTTTCTTTAATTTTTTCACTCCGTTTTATTTTAGGAAAGAAAAGTTTCCATGCCTTTGCAAAATTTGTAATTCTCTAGGATTAGGTTACTTTAAGGCAGTTTAAGTTTCTCTATATATACTCATAACAATATTACATTAAGACCAACAAAAAAATACACAAGAAAAAAAATATTAGATTGATTCTTATTCTTAAAAAGAAGAGAGAAAAAAAAAAAGTCTAGAACAATGATCGTGTACGAGGATATCATTAGCGGCGACGAGCTTTTGTCCGACTCGTACCGGTGCAGCGAACTCTTCAATGGGTGTCTTTGGGAGGTACAAGGGAAGTGGGTTGTGAAAGGCGGTCACATTGAAGTCGACATTGGTGCCAACCCTTCTGCCGAAGGAGGAGATGATGAAGAAGTTGTTGATGAGGACGAGGCTGTCAAGGTTGTCGACATTGTCGACAACTTTAGGCTGCAAGAACAGCCTGCCTATGATAAGAAACAGTTTATTGCATGGGTTAAGAGGTACATCAAGAACTTGACTTCCAAGTTAGAGGGTGATAAGGCTGATGAGTTTAAGAAGAACGTCGAGGCAGCAACTAAGTTTCTGATGTCGAAGCTCAATGATCTTCAGTTTTTCGTGGGTGAGAGTATGCACGATGATGGTGCTACGGTCATGGCTTACTACAAGGATGGTGCTACTGACCCCACTTTCTTGTACTTCGCTCATGGTTTGAATGGAGTCAAGCATTGAAGGGTGCAAGTGCATGCTAAGGGATTAATTTACAAGTAGTAGTGTTTGCCATAATTCTAGTCTTTTAGATTTGGTTATTCTGTTGTTTAAGTTTTTCTTCTGCATTAATTTGGTTAAATTTTGTTATGTACTCCATATTAAATTTTCTAAACGCAATGTTTTGTTTTGTTTTTTTTTAGAAACTCCTAAACGCAATATAATTCTTACTTTCTTTGCTTATATTGAAATTATGTTATCTTGTTATTATCTCTAATAGTACCAGAATCCCCACAATAATAATATGCAATCAGTATAATTGAACCATAAAATATAAATAAAAAAAAAGAATTTGGTACTTTCTTATCATTTTTTTAAACAAGACTCGTGCTGATTATATTGTTTATACATAACTTTTTATACCATCTAATCAAGTTGGCTTATTCTGGGTTATTTTGCGCCAAATTTCTATGTAGAGCAAGGAAAGAGACCACAAGATTTCCAAATTTCAAGATTAAAATATAACTTTCAACTATATATTTGTTCAGATCATGATACAAATTTGAACACACTTTTTACAGGTTTGGGCCATAGCTAGTGTTGCCCATTATTATGAGAAAGATATTGGAATTTGATATATTTGGGTTTATGTAACTGGGGTGAACCAAATTGGAGGAATTTAATGAAATAAAATGAAATATACTGGGAATTTGATCTGGGTTTTTATCTAATCATAGGTTTTGAGCTATGAAAGTTGAAAAGAAAGAAATTGGTTCTTTGATGAGAGTAAAAGTCACACAGAAAAACTGGTAAGAATTTGGTTTTAGTTTAGTGAGAGATTGTGCATAAGATGATGCATTTTTAGGAGATTATATGAAAAAATTAAGATAAGAAGTTATTTGGGATTTCAAAAACTGTAGAGAAAAATCTCAGAAATTTATTGAGAAATTAGAAAAATCAGTTAGAGAACCTCTTAAAAAAACCCTAGCCTCCTTTTCTCTCTTCTCTCTCCTAAATCTAGTCTCCATTGTCAATTTTAAAGGGGCTTTCATTGGATTTCACCGGTGGAAAGCCCCAATCTTTATTTACTTTTAAACTTTTTGTTTTAGGTTGCAATAATGTTTCCCTCGAAAGAAAGGGTTTCTTTCCTTCGAAAGACAAGGTTTTTTGATCTCCTTCGAAAGACAAGTTTTTTCGTACTCTTTCAAAAGACAAGGTTTTATTTGTGCTTAATTTGGTCTCCGGTTGTGCGGGGTTACTATTGATTGTGGCTTGGATTCGGGTTACAGAATTAGCACAAGTATTTACTTTCTCACAAAATTGCGAAGCAACGACGGATCCACTCAAAAAGTTGTATGAGACAACGAATCGAGAATATGCCGAATTGTTATATTTATGTATTTGGATTCTTAGCCCTTCCCCGATTAATTCTTGTTTGATTTTGTTAAATTCGTTTTCATTATCGTTCATGGCTTATATTAATGAAATTTAGTGTCCTTTAGGACTTTTTTTATTTTGTTAAATTCGTATTCATTATTGTTCATGGCTTATATTAATGAAATTTAGTGTCCTTGAGGACTTTTTTTTTTTAAAAAAAAAAAAAAAAAAAAGAAAAATCAGTTGGAGGAAGGTGTTGGCGAGAAACCCACAACTGTTTGAGAAAGTTTAGGCCTTTTCATATAATCACTTGGAGGAAGGTTTTGATGTTTATTATGGGCTTGCCTTTGGCATTTTAACTTTTTAAGACACATGTGCGCCTCACATTGGGTAGCAAATCGGCTGGAGGTAATGATGACATGGGGATAGAATGGCTACAGCGTACAGTGGCGGATCTTAGTCAAAACTATTAGAGGGGCCGGGATTTGAATCTTTTATCTCTCACTACAAAATAATCACTATGCTCTAATATTTTATATGTAAAATAAGGGTATTTAAGTTCATTACCTAATTTATTTCAACAATTTATCAATTTACCGGGGGCCGGACCCCTAATGGCCCCGGTGAAAGGTCCCCCTCTGAGAGAGTAGAGACATGAACGATTTCCTTAGAAATTGTTTAAATCAAAATTAATTCCCACTTTGCGTTGTTTTAAAAATTTATTCTCTGAATAGTGTCCGTGTAGGATCGGGTATTAGGTTTTTTTTTTTTTTTTTTTTTTTTGGTTCAGTGTAGAAATGCAACTGATTGATAATTGACATTTTCTCTGTACCATGTCTCCCTTTTTTTTCCATTTTCTCTCTCCTCAACTTGTTTTTCTCTTTTTTTTTTTTTTTTTTGGTAGAAAGATAACGATTAAATTGTGGGAGGTTTAAATAAGTTACATCATAGTTTCTAGCGTTTTGGTTAGATGGTGTATGAGTGTATGACCATCAGTAGCATCATTACAGACAAAAGATCGAGTTTTGAGTATCTCTTCCAAAATAATACTACTACAGACCACGGGAGGGGAGTTAAAAACATTCAGCTTGTACGAAAGATCGATTACTTTTGTGAAATGCTTATTCATGATTGATCAAATTTTTGCAGGTGGGGCAATTAAAAAAAAACTTGCAGATGACTACATGTAAAATAGTGAGATGATATTAGTGGAATGGTTTAAAAAAACTTGCAAAATGAATTGTCAATAGCAATATTAATTCTTCATATAAAACTGCTACCAACGATTGCGTCTGTAATTGTAAAACCACTGCCCCCAATTGCGGTTCTACAGTGAACTAATAAAAAAAATACATATATAAAAAAAAAAACAAAAATAAAGCAAATACCCAATCTTACGTAGACACTATTAAGGGAATAAGTTTTTAAAACAAAGCAAAGTGGGAATTAATTTTGATTTAAACAATTTCTAAGGAAATTGTTCGGATGTTTGTTTGGTAGATTGTAAAATGTGGAAATATAAGATTTGCAAATTTATGAAAGTATGATTGCCCATAAAATTAGCTACTTTTGTGTGTGGCCAGCTAATACACGAGAAACCTTGCTCTGACCAACTAATCCCTAATTGAGTGACCCCTAATCGAGTAGTCCTTGATCAAATTAAATAATCTTTGACCAACTGAGTAACCTTTGACTGATCGAGTGAGTAATCCTTGACTGACCGAGTAACCCCAACCATTCTTTCATAAAAGAAAATTTGTGGCTGGTTACAAGGTGTGATCAACCACATATGAAAGTTTGTGCCACAAAATACATGGAAATTGGCCCCCACTTAGTTACTCCAAATTCTTATTATTTGCGTGCAAATGTCTTCACAACAACAAAACGATATAATATTTCTACGAAATTTGATGTAGATTTTCAGCACCACTAATATAAAATTTCCTATGAGCATTTAATTCTCATGCCAACCAAATAATACCTCTAGATATCTCATGACAAAATAGTTTATGGCGTAACCATTGGCCTTGTGTACGTAATCCATTCCTTGACCAGAAAAGAAACAAAAATATCAACTACTCTGTATTAAAATTATTAATGGTTAACGATTATGGTAAAATAATCAATTCTATCACTTTCATCTCCAGATTTGTTTTAGGTAGACAGCTCTCAATTAATACAGGAAAAGGGACCTTGCATAGGTAATTAATAATTTGGTCAGTGGTCCTTTAATTTTCTTGTCACACTAAAAAGTTCTACTAATCCGTAATCACCATTGAACCAACTCAATTATTTAAAATAAATGTATGATCAACATCACTAACAGTAGAATATCATATGCTACCTCCGTTTATTTATGATTATAATAAATGAGTATTATTTATTTGACATAAAAAATTCTTTTTTATTAATTAAAAAAATTAATAGAAGTAATATAACAGTTTATTGCTTTATTCTGAAATGTTTAAATCATCACATAAAAATGCATAATTTTTGCAATAAAGAGGGAAATAAAAAAACAATAAACCTTAAAACGGCAAACATATACTACAAAAAGCGTGCTTTTGAGACGCTTTTAAGCCTTTTTTTCGACACCTAAAAGTGTCGCAAAAATATTTATCGACGCTTTTAAAAAGTGTTGAAAATATGTGAGTCGAAAATTTTGCTAGACATCAAAAAGCATCGCGAATTTCGACGCATAATTGTGTCCAAATTTTTATACGAAGCGTCGCAATTTGCCACTTGATGCGCTTTATTAACTTTGGCGACACTTTTTCAGGTCAAGAATATTAAAATTGGTGACGCTTTTCTATGTCCACATTTTTATACATTTGCTATCTAACATTTCAGCAACGCTTTTTCCTGTCCATATTTTCTAATTTGGGGACGCTTTTTGTTGTCCAAATTTTTTTAAAAAAATAACTAGAATACCAAATAAAATATTTCATTCACTAACAATTATTTCTAATATACTAATATTAATAAAAATTTTTTTTTTTTAAAAAGATACATGTAGAACAAATTTATGCCTAAAATTATTACATATAAATATATTATAGCATATGTACAATATCTACTCATAGTAATGAGTTTTCTATTACAAATACATATTCATGACTAGTTGTAGTGGAACAATTCGGAGTCACTAATTGAAATCTTTAAATAGCTTTAATATATCTTTCTTCCATCCTTGAAATATTGCAGCATTAGTTGTCAGCCCTTTTCTACATATATGTCTACATAATCTTTTGAGCCTGCAACACATTTCAGCACATGCATCGATCAATACATCAACAAGAGAATCTAAATAAAATAATAGATCAAAATTACTAACAGTCTAACACTAGGGAGCCATCTGCCAAAAAATACAGAGAATACAATCTCTGAAATATAATTTCCACCTAATAATTTAAGCAAACCAAAACCACAACCAACTTTCATAAAAAAATTATGGAGTAAAAAAACTTACTAAAAGTAAGGGTTTCCATACATCAAAAGACAAGACATCATTTTCCACTATTATCAAAATTCTTATGTTTTGATTTCTGCAATAAATATTAATAATAGATGAAAATATATGCAGAGCCCTGATAGAAAGAGAGAGTGGATGGTGAAGGACCTTTTTTCTTCTTGGCTATTCTCGTTACACATCTAGTCGAAAGGCACAATTATGGTTTCTTGATCTGCTTGCAGGGGAGAAGTAAAACAAAGTACGGATTGTGACAAAATGCTCAGACCACAATCCAAAGAGGAAAAAAATGCCACTAATTAACCTTTTAGACTTTCTTTGGAGAATGTATACCTATAGTTGTATACCACTATACAGGAACCTCTCTCTTCCTTCCGAAGTTGACATTTTGCAGCCAAAGCCTCTAAATCCCTGCATAGCGTCAAGAACAATCAAATCTTTTTAAGAAAATTGCCTCTTAAACCAACCAACCAACGATAGAATGCGGCTAACAACTTCTTCTTTCGAAATAAGGGTATTCAAGCATAAGAAAACATCAATACATGCAAAAAAAGGAAACATGTT